ACTCTTTCCTGCTTATGCAGGGGGTCGGACTCAATGATCTATTGAGGTCCCTTCCGACCCTAACATCTATGAATCTATGAATCTATGAGGGTAAGCAGCAGGGAAAGCAGTAGCAGGGGGACAGGTGGCCTGCCCCCCACCCTTTTCCCCCTGCCTATCCCTCCCTGACCCTAGTTGCTTGCCTAGTGCCTACTCCCCTGGTGCCTGTTGCCCTCTGTCACTCGCATCTCCCAGTGCCTGTCCCCTACGGCTTGCTCCCTCAGCTACTTGTCCCTCCTGCCCCCTGCCCCACCTCTGCTCCTTACCCTAAATGGTGGCTCCAGCCCAGGGCATGGAGCGCCACTGCACATCTCTTGCAGTTCCTCGTGAGCCACAAACTACGTGATCTCCCCATGCACCTTCCCACATCACATGGTTTCCTCTGCCCTGTTCCCCTTCCCGCACCTCCCAACCCACTTGGGGCCACCCCAGCCCCACCCAAACAGTATGAGTAGCAGTGGCAGGCTCAGCCCTGGCCCCAGCCCCAGTACTCAAATCCAAGACAGGGTTTTCCATTCCCTCCCTGTCCTCCCCCCCCCATGTTGAACGGGGGAAAAAACTCACCCTGGATTCAAGGCGGCTTCCACCTCATCGCCTGCCTCTGACTCCACCTCCTGCTGTGGAGCAGCGGGGTGGCCCCCCTCCACCTCTGCCTTCACCTTCTCCCATGGAGCAGGAGGCGGTGGTACCGGTGGAAGGGCTCCCATATTAACCCAGCCGGCCCCACCCGCAATCACCAGAGCAGAGTAGAGGGTAGTTGGTACATCCCAGGCTTTTGGGCTGTGCTGTTTGCTGCATGCATCCCAGAAGGAATTTTTCCCCTTCCTGTTGCTACAGGTGTCGGGCAGGTTGCCTTCCTCAGAAGAAACAGGGGTTGTCTACAACCAAGCACGGAGATTTTAACGAGGATGTACTGATGCCCCTGCTAGAACCTACAAGCTCAGAGGTTCTTGGCTGGAGGGTCCTGCCCCTCTGCACGGAGTCAGACCAATTGCCACATTTAGGATCAGGAAGGAATCTCACCCCATGGTTGGACTGACACGACCTGTGGGGAAGGGAAGTGGGCTGATTTCCTCTGTGGCAAGTGATGTGTTCTTTGGATCTCTTGGGCTTATTTTAGCAAGTTGCTTTCTGTCCCTGCAGTGGCAGGACATTATTTGTGCCCTTCTCCCCTGCTTTACCCTTGGCAAGTTAAAGGGCATTTTTCATGTTCCAAGCATTACACCTGGCAGTTCTGCATGGACTGTTCCCAATTTTTTTTGTCTTGGATGATGTGGATAGAGATGATCCTGCCTAAAACAGGGGTTGGACTGGATGATATCCTAAAACCCTTTCCAGCCCTACTTTTCTATGGTTCTATGATGCTATGAGTCTATGACAGGTATGTTTATTCAAGAAAAGAGATACAGACATAAGCAGACTCCCACACAGCTCTGTACCAGCATGGTCAACTTTGTCAGCCATGGCAAACCACCAGCGCACTCTCTACAGTTGCACATAAGCCACACTGACATCCAGTACTGCATCATATATTGCAAGAAAGTGTGTGGATGAAGTAGGGCGAAGCAAAATTCAGAGTGAACAGGACTCTAGCTGCCTCCAGGGGTTGATAGAGCATCCTCCTTCTGTCTCCTTAGCATGGAAGGGAAAGGGCAGCTTGCCTGTGGATGCTGAAGCCCACCTGATCCTACGTGGGTCTCAGTCCTTCACATGTTTCTTCTGCCCTGGGGTTGCAGAGGGTCCATGGAGCTGAGCTGGAAGAGGGAACACAGGTATGGGACAGGCTGTCCCAATGGAAAGGCCCAAGAGACTGAAGATGGGGCTTGAGTTTGGATTGATTCCAAAGGACGGTTTTGGACCCTTAGAGCATGGGAGAGCTCCCACAGGTGGGAAAAGGGGAGCACAGAGGATTCCACTTACTTCTGAAAGTGGGCTTTTCCATCCGAGCAGGCCCCAGAGCTGGTACTGGTCTGGGGCAGGGAACTGCCTGGATGAGAAGAATGGGGTAAGGGGCTTGTCTCACCCTTGAAACCACCAGCTTCCGCTCCAGCTCAATAGAACCAGCCGGTGGGGCTTTTCCCCCTCAAAGGAGTTCTGGCTTTTATCCAGCCAAGATTACAGGAACCTGCTGGCTTGAGGCAGAGGTTCCTTCAGGGTAGCTGTGCTGTCTCCCCAGCCAATGCTCACCTGTGGGGGCTTCCAGTTGTTTCATGATCAGTGGCATCAGGAAGCCGCAGCTCTGGGCGGGCGATGGGCTTGCAACCCGGGGCTCCTCCATGCTGATGCGCAGGAAGTTCTGCTCAGTGGTGGTGTAGGGGGGCCACTGCTCCCCACTGCTGCCCGCCCCCGTGGGGTTGCTGGGAGGGAAACATTCAACACAGCATGTGAAGATGAGCATGAGGTAGGACCAGGGAAGGGACAAAACACCAGCAGGGGCATCATCGCTTAACAGAGCAGGGGCATCTAAGTCAAGTCCTACAGCTTTTTCAAAATGCCTGTGAGCTGCCTTTGGATAAGAGCACAGCTGCCTCCCAGTCTTCTTCAGTGTGGGGAAGACTCACCGTGGCCTCACTGAAGGATCATCTTCACCCATTGGCTTCACAGAGACCAAAGTCATAGCCAGTCCAGGATTAGGATGGCTGGCTGCCTTTGGGGCACGGACTTTCCATGGGGTGTTCGGACTGACACAGTAAAGATTCCCACAATCTCCCAGGGTCCTATCAGGCTGCCCACCAAGAGCAGCATTTTGTGTGGTCAAGCAACAGCGAAGGGCAGTGCTGGGAGCAGAGGGATGTTGGGAAGTGTGAAAGTCTCTCTGCTGGACTCTAACTTCTCCACATTTTTCTTGAAGTGAGGGCCCCAAAGGTGGACACAGTAGTTCAGGTGAGGCCTCGACAGTGCCAGACAGAGCAGGAGGGTTTTTTTTATGTTATTTTTTTTTTTAATAACATATTTCGTGTCCCACATCAAATCAGCTAAATCAATTCAAATCAGCTAAACCAATTCCAAATCATATCGACTGAGCAGAACTCAATCGTTCCAAAAACCATATTGACTGAGCAGGCAGAACTCAATTGTTCTAAACACCATGTATGGCACTACAACCAGTGAGCATCCTCCATCCCAGACCTATCATCTTGGGACTTCACATACTCCCAAATCCATTGGCAGGCATCCATGTGGAGGCCCAAGCCTGGAGGTCTTGGGGTTCGGATGCCTCCAGATACTACAGGCAAGCATCCTCCATCCCAGACTCTGTAGTCTGGGACTTCCAATACTCCCTACTTTTGGTCTTAGCCCACAAGAGGCTGAGAAGCAGCCAGTGCCAGACAGAGCAGGAGGATTTCCCTTAATCTCCAATTCACATTCCTACTAATACAACCTAGCCTGCTATTGGCCTTCTTGGCAACTAGAGCACACTGATGGTTCATAGCTTACAATCCTCTATAACCTCCAGGTCCTTTTCGGAAGTCTTGCAGCCCCACCAGAATTCTCCAGTATTTTGTATGTCATTTTTCCATCCTAAATGAAGTATTTTGTATTTCCCCTTAATGTCTTTCATCTGATTCATTTCCAAATGTGTCCCTAATATGTCTGGGTCATTCTGAATCTGAGCCTCCCCACCACCCTCCCACCTTCCAGTGTCTGCATCTCCATCCAACTGGGTGTCACCTGCAAATGTAATTGAAAGGATGTCAGTGGTGCATAGCCATGGGGTGTGGGAATCTGATAAAACACATTCCCACCACCTCAGAAGCAGTGGATCCAGAGGTATATGGGTTTTCAAAACTCCCTGTTTGGAGTCCTGGGGAATTTTATCCCATAATCAGACTGGTATGGACAGTGGGGATTTTTGCCTTCTTCTGTAGTGGGAGTGGGGGGTGACCCTCTCCCTTGGACCTCTCAAGTGCATTTTAACAACACTTGCAGAAGCAGGACATTGGCCACCATTGCTTTACCTGTGGCAGGTTAGGGAGATATGCCCTGTAGCTATAATGGGGTTTATTATGTATTTTTGTAATAGGTTAGAAAAGCATTTGTACAGGATGCATTGGATAAGGATGATCCTACCTAAGGCGCAGGGTTGAACTAGATGACTTCTGGAGGTCCAGATCCAGCCCTATGGTTTTATCCCTTCCAGCCCTATGGTTTTATGATTCTATGGCAAATGTTAAGGAAGGGACACTTAAGTGTTGACAAGCAGATTTGATGCAGCTACTCCAATCGCTCACAACCTCAGTCAGGATGGACCATGTTCATAAGCCTCTCTGATCATTTAGACAAAAGGAAGAAGCAGTCACTGAATGTAACCTATGCGGTTGAGGGTTTTGTGCCCCAGAGCTAGAACTTGGTAGGGTTCTAGAGCAGAGGAGCCAGATGAATGGGTGGTTTCCTGTTAACAAGCCCTCGGTCTAATTGGGCATGTCTACACATTGCCATATGGTGACATTGCTACAGCGCCATGCTTTCATACTTCCTTTTGGAAGTACTAAAGCAGAGCACAATATGGGCTGTTACTGCACTGTGCATGCGGCGCCCGGTTAGATGTCATCGCTATGTCACCATAGAGATGTGCTATAACCGGGGAGTGCACTGCGATGGCCACACAGCTGGTGATCACGTGTAGGTTTCTACGTCGCCATCATGTGCTGTACAGTGACATAGGGCATTGCTATGTTGTCATAGGGCAACATGTAGACGCCTCCATTGATCCCTGTCTTTGCTGCTGCTAGAAACATATGGTTGAATGATCTTAGCTGCCTTGGTGGCTTGGTTGGGGATGGAAACCATGGGTCGGGGACTGAAACCATCTTGGAAGAAGAATGTACTTGGGGCTGTGAGGGCCTAGAGAGACAGAGAGAGGGCGGGTTTCTCAGATGGGATGTTCTTACCCACTCCTGGCAAATTCTGCCCAGTACCACATCACCCTGCGGCTTAGTGCTGCCTCGGCTTCAGTGAAGTTCTGGTTGCCTGCTGCCTGGGTCCCAAACAAGAAGAGCAGGTCCGAGCCGTGTGGCACCCCAGTCCACTCAGGGGATGACAGCTTCCTGGGGCGATAGGCAAAGGTATAGGCGTACACAGGACTTTGGGCCTCTGACTCCCGCTGGGCAACATCAACTACTCCACAGGCAATGAGCATGTCACTAATAATCTGCTCCATGGCCCATCGGTACCGTGTGGTGCCCTGTTCTGCAGGGCTGTACTGCAGTGCAATGGCCTCAATAACATGTTCTGGTGTCCCCTGTAACATCTGCCCCAACACTTTCAGTAGCTTCTCCCAGCCAATCTGACTTGCATCCTCCAGGTCAAATGGGAAATAAGAAGAAATCAAAAAGTTGGATCCCTCATTGGTGGTGAATCCAACCAGGATGGGCATAGACTGGTTGTGCCCAGCCTTCACTAACTTCCATGGTGCATCTGGCAGGAAATCCCCATCCGTGGTAGGCACGAAGCTAAGGTGAATTAGTGATTGATGCCTGCCAACGGACATCTGATGCTTGAGGATCTCCCCCACCTCCTTCCCTTGCAGGCATCCCACCAGGGCAATGTCATTTGCTTCAGGGCAGCCCAGCAGTAGGCCTAGGGCCTGGACCCTCTGCTTTGCCTCCTCTGGGTCAATCCAAGCCCAGGTGGAGCTGGAAGCTCCACTCTGAATAACAGCCCGAGAGAAGAGGGGACGACTGCTTGGAGAGAGGAGGTGGAAGTCAATGGAGGCACCCCCAGCACTCTGGCCAAAGAGGGTCAAGCGACTGAGATCCCCGCCAAAGGCAGCTGCATTATCCCTCAGCCAGCGCAGTGCCAGCTGCTGGTCCCACAAGCCAGCATTTCCCGGGGCAGTCGGTGGCAAGGACAAGAAGCCCAGTGCCCCCAGCCGGTAGTTCATGGAGGCCACGATCACACTCTCGGTGGTGGCTAAGTAACGCCCATCATACAGGTCCACAGAGCTTGCGCCCATAAAAAACCCCCCACCATGGATCCAGATGAGGATGGGAACTGGGGAAGATGGCCGGGGATGGGGCACCCAGATGTTAAGGAAGAGGCAGTCCTCAGAATAGGGTGTTTTGGGCATCCACATGCTGCTATCAGGCCAGCCAATTAAAGGAGGCTGGGGACACGGACTACGAAAGCTAGTGGTATCCAGGATGTTTGTCCAGGGCTTGTGGGGAAGGGGCTTCTGGAAACGTAAGGCTTCCAGAGGGGGCTCAGCATAGGGGATGCCCAGGAAGGCAGTCACGGTGCCGGAGCCAGCTGAGAGACGCCTGCCCTGGATAGGGCCACTGGTGGTGTTCACCACTGTGCCATCGCCGTCAGAAGTGGAGCTGGAACCCGGCTGGGAGAAGAAGAGCAGGCAGGTGACTGCAGGGAGGAGTCCCAACATGGTGGCAGCTGGAAGGGAAAGCACTCAGAGGTTATGGAGAAGGAGGGCAGCAGTTGCCCACTCAGGGCTGCAACTCCCTCCAGCTCCAGCCATGGAGCATCAATGCTCTTCTGCCATCCTTATTCCCTTCAGCCATTTCGGCCTCTAGTCAGTCACTCAGCATTCAAGCCCTTTGGAAGCTCCCCACTCTGATACGATGATTTGCCCTTTCCGCCATGCCCTCCTGAAGGCGACAGGCTCCTTCCTGTCAGATGCGGACATGACTGCATACACCTCTCCCACAACGAGAGTAAAGCCAGGGATCCTGGCTCTCAGCCCCCCTGCTCAAACTGTCTAGATCCCACTCTTATACCAATGGCAGGGACAGAGCCCAGGCATGGAGAGGGTGGCGAGTGGCCACTCCACAAGCTGGGGGTTAGTTAAAATCCACAGCACAGCCAGGGGGACCAACTGGGGCAGAGGGGATGAATGGAGAGTTGGAAGGAGACTGGGGTTAGTGGGTTTGAGCAGGGGGCTGGGAATCAGGACTCTGGTGTTATCTCAAACTCTTTGGGGGGTGGTCTGGGGTGTTTTAGGCAGGTATCTCATAAGAGGAGAGTCCAGTTCTGTTCTTTTGACCAGTCATTCATTCCCTTCCCCCTGCCCTGTTTTGGAGCTGCGAGGACCCAGAGAAGCACAGACTCACCTCCCTTGTGCCCGATGCTGCTGTTTCTTTGTGATTCTCTCTGTGTCTTACAGCTCAGTCCGTAGAGATTTATGAGAGACCAGAGCCAGGGAGTTGTTCTGATGCCAAGCATAACAGCCAGGGTCCAACCTCTGATCTTACGTATCTATCCTGAGAGCAGTGACCCCACTGGCCCACATGTGCGCACACCTGGATTAGACCTGGCCAGGTGAACTCCAGGGCACAAGTCAAGGACCCAGAAGGGAAGAACAGAGGCCTGACTTGAAGTGAAGGGCATAAAACTGGACACAGCACTCAAAGCAAGGTGGTTTCATGACTGCCATGACAAGACTGTAGCCATAGACCTGTTGCAAGGTAATAGGCAACTCACAGGAAGAGAGTTTGCAAGTGTGTCTCAAAGACAGATTGCAGCCCTGTGACATTTGGAGGGCAGGGCCTGAAGAACCAAGGGGTGAGTAGATGAGACTCTCAGCTCTCGGCTGAAGGGTTTTCAGAGATGGATGCTGTCACAAACCCACACAGAGAAGCAGGACTGTGTGGGGGTTCATGGGGTGCGTGACTGCATGGACTGAGGCTGTGGGACTCCCTTCTGACTCCTAGCAGTCAACTGCTGCCCGTATGCCCATCCGACCACCTGCATGCTTAGCTTACCCACCTGCCACACCTTGCTGTTATGGTCTGTTGTGTGTCCTCTGTCTGGTCTGGGGGCAATCCCCCTGGGTACCTCCCCTCTTTACATCACGGGGCCCCTGGCTCTAACTGCATCCAGGCATCCTGCCAAGGTGTAGTCCACCCTTCCCTCTGGTCCACTGGCCCAAAGTAGTTGGTATCCCTCAAATAGCGCACTCTTTCAGTGTCCCCTGATCACAGCCTCCCTGCACCCTTTTACAGCCCTCCCAAGCCTCTCCGTTCAGGCTTCTGTTTTCCAGGTTGTCCCAAAGCTCAGCCAATCTTTGCTAGTTCCTTGCAGCACAGGTCTTTCCTCAGGCCTGCTCTATCTCTGCTGGGCTTCTCTTAAGCTCTGGCCCTTCCCCAGGCCCACTCCTAGTCACCCTCTCCAGGATTCAACTTTTCTTTAGCTGTATCCAACAGAAGCTCCTGTCCCAGCTCCTACCAGGGCCCTTCTGCCTAGCACTTCCAGCTGCTGTGCTTGCACAATTCACTGGGAGCACAGCTCCTGGTAGAGGCACAGACCCCTTTCTGTTCCCCTCTTTGTAATGGAGTCAGGAGCCTCCTGCTACAGGTGTCATGCATGGGCAGATCTAGGATTCTGAAAAGGAGGGTGAAGATGGTGTGGTGCATCATCACATGTAACACAATACACATTTTTCCCTAGGTAAAAAGGAACTAGAAGCTTTACCAATATGCTAGAGGCCTAGGGCTACATTATTTAGTTTAAGGACAAAGCAAGAACAAATATAACTTTACTGAAATGTGCATTAATTTGCTGTATCATATATTATGCATAAAAACACAATAAACTAGGCAAATCATCAAAATATGTTGTTTCTTCAGTCCTGTTGTCGTTGGAATTAAATGTACATGTCTTCCAGATTCTTAAAACAAAATCAAGCCTTCTTGAATATCTTGACAGTGTCTCCAGTGCCTCACTGCTGAAAGTTGTTCCCATACCTGAAGTAACATTTTTAGCTAAAGTCTGTAGGGCTTTGAAATAAGAGCGACATTAGGAAGAGCAGCTAACAGACAGCAGAATTGCAGAAGGAAGGATAGCTGAATCGTTGGAAAAGACCCTTAAAAAGGAGAGAGGGTTGTTAACACCTGTGGAATGAAGAGTTTAGGAGTCAGATAGATTATGAGCCTGAAATCAGCTGACTCCCTCATTGTTACCTGAATAGAAATGCTGCTGCCAGGCAATTGGTTTTAAACTTTGGGTGGCACGGGAATCAAAGGGGGGTGCAACTGCACCACTTCACTCCCACTGCATCCACCCCGGTGTCATGATATTTTTGTGGATTAGATTTACTAACACTGTGTAATGGACTGTAACGTCAAAGCACGAACTACAGTTTCCAGAAGGCTGCTGGAAAGGAGAGGAAGCAGAAAAGCACTGGACTGTAATGTCGGAGCATGAGCTACAGTTCCTGAAGGCTTCTGGGCAAGAGAGGAAGCGGAGGAGAGCTGGGACAGTGTGTGCAAGGGTTTCGCAGCCAGAGAGTGGCAGGGGATCGTGGCAGCCAAAGAGACACATGGCAGAGACAGAAAGCAGCAGCCAAGCTGAATCTGCAAGCCACCGCAGTGGGGCCCAGGCATGGAGCCTGGGTAGACACCAAAGACTGGTTTGGAGCCCCCTCCGGCGCTGAGCGAAGGTCTGAGGTTTCTTCAGTGTATGTACCATGTTGTTAATGCTCCCTATCCATTACCTTGCAATTGGCTCCTGAAGGGTTTCACCACTGAGTCACTATTTACCTGTATGTATCTCCTGAATGTTTATACCCTAATGTTTATTCACCTGGGCTTTTCCCATCTCCTTAGCCCCTTGGACTGTGACCCTAACCCCCCAGCATCCCCAATTCAAAAACTGGGAACCCTCCTTTTTAGCTTCCCCTGCCAGTGCCCCAAGTTTGGGGGCTTAGTACAACTGCGGGGTCTTGATCGGTAGCTCATATTAAACTGACTTTCAGTTCCTTTTTTAAACGAAGCCAAATACTGGGCGGGAACATCTCTGCATTTTACACGACTGCAGGTGCATCTACACCAGACGCTTACAGCGCAGTAACCTAATAACTGTGCAGTAGCCTTATAATGCTGCGCAGTCGTGTATTGACCGGCGTGCTACTGCGCAGTAAGCGTCACAAAAAAACCATGCGGGGTGCCAGGGTTCGAATTACGGGGGAGCTCAGCACCCCCATGAAAGATGAGAGCCCCCCTGGAAGATTTGCAAATCAGAAGGGGGGGGGAGGTCCTCCAATTTAATTAGGGCATCTTGATGGGCAGCCAATTTTTTTGCTGCCCCAAAAGTCAGTGTCATTTGAACCCTGGCTTGTGCATTAGTACTAAACGAAATGCGCAGTAACTACTGCGCATTAATGAACGTGTAGACTCAACCTGGGGTGAGTCCATCCAGCAAGTATTGACGAGGCCGGTTGAGTAGAAAACGAGGGGGGGGGGAACTACATTTCCCAGCGGCCCTTGCGGGGCGGAGCCGGAAGCGGCTGCGGGCTCCCCACGTGCGCGGCGGCGGCGGCTGGGATGGCGGCGCAGGTGAAGGACAAGGAGGCGCTGCAGCGGCTCAGCTTCCTCTACCAGGTGCGGGGGTCCGCTGCCTCCCTCCCGCAGGCGGCGCACTGCGTCCTGGCCCGCAGCCCCGACGGGCAGGAGCTGGCGCGCTTCTACTGCCACACGCAGCGCAGCGTCAGCCGCCGCCTCGTCCTCCGGCAGTGAGTGCGGGGCTGCAGCCCGGGCTGGGTTGGGCTGGGCTGGGTGGCGGCGCCTGGGGGTGGCGAAGGGCACGCAGGGCCCTTCCCCTCTGGGGTGGGGGATCTCCTCTGCGCCCCCTGCCCCTGTGGGGATCAGGCTGCTGCCCTTTCTCAGGGGTGTGGGGGTCGTTTGGAGGGCCCCTCCTGCTGCTCTCCCCACTTGCAGGTCGGCAGCCCTGATCCCTGATCTGTGCTTCTTCCCCCGCCAGGGACCCATCGGTGAAGAGAACCATGTGCAAAGCCTGCTCCTCCCTCCTTGTCCCAGGTGTCAGCGCCACCGTGCGCCAGAGAAGTGAGTGCTGCTGCTCCTGTGTGCGGGGACTAGAGCTGCCTGCTGGGGCGGGGAGCTTGAGGTGCCAGGCCCGCTCTGGGGGGGGACCGGGGGCCTGCTGCTGCTAGTGGAGACAGCGGAGATCCCACATGCCTGCCTTTTTTTCCCCCCAACTCTGGGCAGCAGGCGATGTCTAGGGAGGGGCAGGGACTTTGAACTCCTGGGTTTGTAGTCAGTCTAGTGAGGGGAGCAGGGCTGGTACTTAGTGCAGGGTTGGAAGTTGGGACCCCTGGGTTGTGGGAGGGGTGCGGGGACGTGGGGTGAAGTGGGGAGACTTGGAGCTCAGACTACTGGGCTCTGTGAGAGGAGTGGGCGCCCATGCCTCCCTGTTTGTCTTTGACCCCATCTCATCTTCCTCCCCTTCCCCAGGATGCCGCCGCCAACGCTGGACGATTGTGCGATGCCTCACCTGTGGCCTGACCAAGCGCTTCCTGAACAACCCAGAGTATAAGCTGTGGGCAGAGCAGCCTGAAGCCCTGCTGGAGAACCAGCCTCAGTGTGGTGAGAGAAATGGGCCAGCATCCAAAGTGTGAAAGGGGACAGGGAGGATTACTCCCTGGCAGGGGGAAGTAGGGTTTTGGGTGCCAGGCCTATCTGGGGTGGCTCAGTGAGTCAGGAGGCAATCAGGGATTGGTGAGGAGTTAACATTTTGGGGGTGTGGAGCAGTACTACAGGGATCTCTGATGCCACTGCCTCTTCTCTGTTTCAGATCAGAAGTCCACAGGCCTCCACCAGCCATCCAAGGAGCCTCCAGCACAGAAGGGCAAAGCTTTGAGCGGGACTTTGGGCTTCCAGAGCCAGAACACCTCGGAGGGAACCACAGAGGCCACAAGGCAGAAGGGGAAAGGAGATGCAGGTGGAAGATGATGCCCGCACCCTTGAAGCAGCCATCTGCAGAGGGCACTGACTTTTCTGTGTGGTCCCAGTCAGCAAGGACCATGCTGGGAAGAAGAAAACTCCAGGAGACTCATTATGAATGAGGGTCAGAGACTGATTTGGAGAAGGAGTGAAAGAGACTTTTTTCTTTAGAGACTGGCTGGCAAAGGGGAGGCAGGACACACGGTGTAGGGTCTCTTCCCTCTAAAGGATGCCAGCTGCAGTCCAGCCCCAGGGCCAGTGGAAAGAGTCTGATCTTGCGATGGGGGAGGTTTTGCACCATGAAATAAAATTATCTAGTCACATGCAGCATTTCCCAGCCCTTCTTGTCTGGATTTAAATTAGGACAAAAGTGAAGAAAAGGACAATGGGGGAGAGGGAGCCCTCTGTCCCAGGCTAAGATCTGTGACACAGAATCAAGGGAAGACGGGAGCTTCTGTCTGTGCCCATCACACGGTAACTTGAACACTGCATCTGCTCAGCAGCAGGATTTCAAGGAATGTTGGAGGCATCCAAAGGCAGAAGCTTGTTGATTCTGGGTTGAGGGATTCAAAAAACAAGGTGAGGGAAATGGAAGATATGGAGAGCCAGCCCCTGCTGTCCTGTTTTGTCAGAGCTCTATGCAAGGACTGAGAAGCATCATCAGAGTCTTGCCAGAGATATGGCAGAGGTAGAGACAGGGCAGCACCTAAGTGGTCGGTAAGGTCCACCCAAGGAGACTTAGGAAAGAGAGAGAGGGAACATGCCAGCATAAGAAAAGATTCCTCCCTGGAACAGGAAAACTATCCAGGCTAGAAAGCAGCAAGAAACCCCTCTCCCCACAGCTTGCTTCCCACCTTGTTGTCCCTCCCCACAGCCATGGGATCCTGACAAAGGGGCTCATTCCCTTGTACTTACTCACTGTGATGACTAATGAGCAGTGTGGAGAATCCTTGCTCTCTGGGAACACACTGGCCAGCTGCATCTGAGTAGGTGAAGGAGGAGAGGAAACTGGCATGTGTAGATGCCCAGTGTGCCCTCTGCCCTGCCTCTGCTTCCACATCCAATGGCAGCAGAAGGCCACAGCTGGGGCTCTGCCCAGCCCGACCAATTCAGTCAACGCTGGGTAAAGATAGAGCATTGTCACTGTCACTCCAATTGTAGCATCATAGAAAAGTAGGGTTGGAAGGGACCTCGGGAGGTCATCCAGCTTAGCCAAGGGCGATTTGGGTTGCGGGTAGTAGGGGTGCAACAGTGTGGTTACACCCCCATTTTTCTGCTCAGCACCTAGTCAGTGCTGGCTCCTGCCAGAGCTCTGCGTGTGCAGGGAGCTCTGAACTCACCAACTGATTGATGCAGCTCCGGCAGGAACCAACCCTTTCACATGACTCCAGAGCTCTGGATGGACACAGCTACTAATCGCCACCTCTGTCCACCACCCTCACCCCCAACCCACTGAATTCAGCAGCAGGGGAAACAACAGGATGAGCAGCAGCCTGAAAGCCTGTTCTCCAGGATCCCACATCTCCCCTGTGCTACCAAACATGGTCAACAGTGTAATTTGAACTCGGAGGAAAAAAACTATAGTAAGGGACAGAAGTGACAGGGAAAGAACACAGTGTATGGGAGAATTCTTGTCAGTGGGGATTTCTAGCACACTCAGGCCCTCTCTATGCTTTACATGTATCATGAAATTACTGGGTTAAATTTGAAATTAATTTAGACTGGCTACACATGCAAATGAAGTATCGTGCCATAAAAAGGTCCAACCAGCTATAAAGTTATTGCTGGAAACTGTGTAGTAACTATATAGGTGGTTGCTATTGAGTTGGAATGTACACATGTAAGTTAGAAGCTCTGTCAGCTGACTGGACTCCCAGCTGCAGGGGTGCACCATGCACAGCCATGGTTGTGAGGACTGCAGCTGAAGGGACTCTCAGCCCAGCAGTGCCCTGCAGCTGCAGATGCTGGGTACCTGGGCACTCAAGGCCCCCAGGGTATGTGGTGTGTGCACTCTGGCTGGGAGAGGAAAACAACTGCCAGAGCTTGCTTCTTGCCAGTGCAGAGGGAGCCTGGGATCAGGCCTCCCCATCACCAGTAATAAGGCACAATGACATCTAATGCATGATTTTACAATCATACCTTGTGCCATGCATGTCTGACATGGAAGGAGGTGCGATTCCTTGGATCACATATTAGATCCCATCACGCCTTTACCTGCATGTGTAGTGGGAACCTCAAAGACAGACTGGCACAGTTCCCAGTCTTGCCAGCCCCATGTTGTCTGCCCATCCAAATAAAGCCTGTGCCCTGGGCCAGCTAGGGTCTAGACACTGTATTTCCTTGTAGACTTCTGAATTAGTGTGGTAGAGCTGTCTATTTCAACACAGCTTTGGACTTCAGGAAGAAGCAGTTGGTTCAATGATAGGCAAAGCCACAAACCAAGTCTAACCTGGCTCTGCCCCAGCTCTTAAAGGATGTAGCTCCTGCCAGGTCTATCCCTGAAGGCCAGACCATTCCTGCCCAAAAGCCCCTGCATGTGCATCCAGGCAAAGTGTGCTGTTCAGCTCCAAACCCTGCTGGATGATTCTCTACTTTAGGTCTGACCCCTCCAGGCGTTGTTACCAGCTTACACCTCCACAGGGCTCCAAGCGGTCAGAAGCAGCCCTTCCCATGGCTAGAGCTGCAGGCAAGCACCAGGAAGCAGCAGCAGAGTCTTGGCAGAGACAGGGCAGTGCTTGAGTGGAGGGTGGGGTCCACCTCAGGAAACTGAGGATTGAAAGGAGGGAGGGGACTCCCTGGATCAAGAGAATCTTATCCATGCTAGAAGAGGCATAAAGACCTTCCCCCTGAAACCACAGCTTGCTTCCCACCTAGTTACCCCTCCCCAAAGGCATGAGATCCTGGCAAGGGGAGGCCATCCCTTTGTACTTGCACATTGTGATGAACAATATGGATAATCCTTGTCCTCTGGGAACAGCTATGGCCCCACTCTGACCAGCTGGATGTGAAGCAGAAGGATGAGAGGAAACAGTTATGAGTTGGCGTCCAGCATGTCCCCTGCCCTGCCTCTGCTTCTATGTCTAATGGCAGAGGAGGGTCATAGCAGGAGAAGCAGGGGCTCTGCCCCACCCCACCAATTCAGTTAGTACAGAGAGCAAACACACTGTCAATAAATTGTGGCATCATTGAAAAGTAGGGTTGGAAGGGACCTCAGGAGATCATCCTATCTAACCAAGGGCAAATTCAGGGTGGAGGGGAAGGGGGGGCGGGGGTATGACAGTGAAGCCACACTCCCATTTGTCTGAGCTCCCCATCTAGTCAGTGCTGGCTCCTGCCAGAGTTCTGCGTGTGCAGCGAGCCCTATGAACTCACAGCTGATTGATGCAGCTCTGGCTGGGACTGTCACTTCCACATGACTCCAGAGCTCAGGGGACGGACACTACTGCTGTTCTCTCTCCTTCCCTCCACCTCCCTCACCATCAACCCACTGAATTCAGCAGCAGGAGAAACAACAGGATGAGCAGCGGTATGAAAGTTGTGGCTATGGCCAGAGGTTGTACTGATCAACTGGGGAGCTCAAATTGCTCACTGCCCATTGGTAGCTCAGCCAAGCAGTGGTGTGTCTGCAACCTTCATTGCCTGTCTGCTGGATCCACTGCTGAGTCCAGCCCCTGCTCAGAGCAGGATCATCCCTGTCCAAAGGAACCTAGAGAAGTGTTTGTTTAATCTGCTCCTAAAACTACACAATTGTATCTTGTCCTTTGTGGGCAAAGATGATTGCATCCAGCGGGGATGGGGGGAAGAAGAGAGAAAAGAAGTAGGAAAGAAACAGGGGGGGGGAGGGGGAGAAGAAAAGAGAGAGAGGAAAGAGAAAGGAGCAGGGTGGAGGATAGGTTGTGTGCATACGCTGGTGATTTATAAACTCGATCTTTGCTTTGAACAATCTGCTGCAGCAGGGGCAGAAAAGCACTGAGGCCTGGGTACGAGAGGTTTTCGTTTTCCTGGCCACGCATTTCTTCATTGCTTCTGCTGTGCGTTGCTGTTCAAAGGCCAGTGCCCCATTCTGGATTGATTACCTCCAGGATGGATGGTCGCAAGCCATTTGCTCCCACAACTCCAGGTCAATGTCGAAACTCTTTAGGGACATCTTGAGGGTGTCCTTGTACTACCGCTTTGGTGCGCTGTGGGAGCGTACTCCATTGACAGTTTGCCATAGAAGGTTTTCTTTGGCAGGCAAGCGCCAGTCATTTTTGAAAGGTGGCCGGCCCACCTGAGCTGCACCAGTTTCAGTAGAGCATGAATACTGGGGAGAGCTGATCTTCCAAGCACCTCAGTGTCTGCGATCTTGTTCTGACGCTTGATCTTTAGTATCTTGCACAGGCAGCACAGATGGAAGTGGTTTCGTTTCTTGACATGACGCTGGTAGATGGTCCAGGTTTCACAGGTGTAAAGGAGGGTCAGGAGAATGATGGCTTAAACTACACAACAGCCCTGTCACAACTACAAGTCAAACAGCAAAAATACCTTCGCCTGCAACAAGTAAAGGGGGGGGGGTGAGGGCACAGACACTTGGCTGCTGCAAGGATTGTTCAAATATACTCAAGAGAGCTAAGCCCACCCCTCCAGAGGAAAGCAAAAGCTGCACAGTCCATACCCATCTGAACATGTTGTAAAAGCTCTTCCTGAGCACAAATGTGCAATCAGTCTGACCCTGAATGGAGGGGCAAGACCCTCTACCAGGAACCCACAAGCTTTAGTGCCAGGAGGAGCACTGGCACACCCCAGTCAAAAAAACTGGTGTCGGGGGCGGGCGGCGGGCGCGGGGCAAGGAAATAGAGGAACAGCAACAAGGACACGCACCCGTGGGCGCTGCCGCGGCTAGGAGCTCTGTGGATGGACGACAGCTCCCCCGAAATCACCCCCGCCCCGTGTGTTATCCATTGAAGGGACCCGAGGCGGAGCCGCAGAGCCGGAGCTGCGAGGGAAGGAGCCGGGGGCAGGAGCCCGGCCAGGGCGCCCCAGGAGGTAGGCAGCGATGGGGGGGAGCCGGGCTCTGCTCTGCTGCAGCAGCCACCGCCTCCTGCTGGGTACAGGGGGTTGCTGCCCCCCCCTCGCAAATGGCAGGGCTGAGGGGGCTGTGGGTGGTGGGTGTTGGGTGTTGGGCCGTGGCAAGAGCAGGGCCAGGGAGCTGGGGGGAGGGGCACCAGCAGGGCGCAGGGTGGGGTTGTGCAGGGAGTTAGGGGCCTTTCATTTTAATCACCCATTTTGGAGGGGGCGTTATCAGAGAATTTGCGACTTTTTGTCAGTGAGTGGTTATGATTCGCTCTGCACAATCATGCAGTTCTGTTCTTTTCATTGGGCAGGACTCAGACACCTCCTCAGTGCTATCCAGAATGTGCCAGGCCTCTCCACTCACTGCAGTGGGGAGCTCTAGCTAGCCTGTGCTAAGACCCGTCTCTGTATGGCTGGAACTCCACTTTCTTTGACCTCATAAGACAGTGATACTCAGTCTTTCAGCCCTGTTGGCCAAATTTTGCTCACAAGGTTGGTCGTGGACCAGATCCAGCATGCGGACGGCACACAGGGTCAGTGCGGGGGTGTGATCCAGGGTGCTGGCCCACCCTCACGTGCTGGCTGTGGCTGTGGAGTGACCCCTGTGCACCAGCCCCACTGCAGTCTAGCATGTGGGGTCACATCATCTGGTCCATGGGGCTCTCTATAGGTCTGGAAATATGGCATCAGTGTGTGCGGGCCGGCTCCCGATCTCGCCTGGGTTGCCATGTGCGAACTCTCTCCCGATCCCATTTGAGTCGCCATGTGCGAGCTGGGGGCAAGCCGGGCCCGTCTTTTGTGTGCACACAGGCTGTGGCCAGTAGCCCGGGTACACGGGGCTGGAGAAAACCACAGTGCGGTATAGTACGCTCGAGCTAGAATCAGTCACGGAGGCGTAATGGTTGATTGAAAAGATTATTTACTTACACCCAAGGTGGTCGCGGTGTAGGCTGGTCAGCTTTCCAGGCACAGCTCCGCTTGAGTTCTCGGTGGAGGACTCTGATAAACTCGGTTCCTTGACCCCGGAGTGAATCAGGCTCCGCGGGTTCAAGAATTCGTTCCCACGGAGCAGCTGTATCTCCGTGAGTGTTACTCGGTTCCCAGGTCCCCCGGAGCCGTTAAGACTCCGTGGGCTCGACAATGGGGTCCTTAGGGTAGGGATACGTCTGGGCTGCGATCGGCGACGGGGAGGGGCTAGAGGTTAGTTGCCTCAGAGTCGTTAAGGCTCCGAGGGTACGGTAAATAGGTCCCGCGGAGTTGTTGAAGCTCCGTGGGTTCGACAAATTAAACCTCTGTTGCCCTCTTAAGGAAAGAACTGGGTTTGTATAGATTAGCAGCGCTCAGAGATCTTCACGCTCCTTTCCCAAACTTCACGTGCTTTTTCTCTCTCCGACTTGGGCAGAAACTATCCAAGCCTTTTGTACGGCTAGCAAGCCAATAGCTAGCCGCCACGTGTGCCTACATTAAGACTGGCCAATAATGTGGCGCGAATCCTAATACAAATGGCAGGAAATCCTTGCAAAGTGCATTACTATAATGCAAAAGAAATGCACGATGCAAAGAAAGCTACAGAACTGGCGGGAAAAGCTCCTGCATGCGGGTTCTCTGTTGCAGCAGAACACTCCACCGTGCAAAAGAGCTGCAATTTGGCAGGAACATGATTTAGCGATGCCGAAGCGCACACAAACAAAAAACCCCACAACTTTGGGTTGTGACACAGTGGAGCAGCAATTAATGCTGCCTCTTCTTCCCTGCCTCCATATTTTTGGAACTCCATGGGCTAATAGAAATGGGCTTGTGGGCCAGAGGTGGCCCACAAACCGGGCGTTGAGCACCACTGTCATAAGACATATATCCTACCAGGGCTTTTGATTTGAGCCAGATGTCTGCATGAGCAACTGCATGAACCCAGCAGACACCTGTCCTGTGGGTAGGGTCTGGCCGATCTCTGTCTGCACTCTGCTTCTCTAATGGGGACTTTGACTGAAACTTAATGACAAACCAAAGTGAAGACAAGGCTCCTCCTCTCATCCTCTGCACAGACAGGAATCCTGCTGCACAGTGCTCATGCCAGAGGTAGGGACAGGCTTTTCCTCTCTGTGCTTCTCACCTGGGTCACAGCACATGGAGGCTGCTCCAGATTTACTCAGCCTGCTCTGGAGCACTCACTTGATCTGAGACAAAGGCAGAGCTGTTTAAAAGTGCCTGCTGCTGCAGAGGAAGCCCGTGTATCTTGGTACAGCTTGAGACCACTATTCCTGCCCCTGCCCCTGCCCCTGCCCCTTTAATGCTCCTAGTGCCAGGCTGCTCCACATCCCATTGGGGTTGGGGGCTAGGAGGATAGGGGTCAATCCTGCCTCACTGTGTCCCCCGCCCTGGGTCTGCATCTCCATCCACCGCTGACTCTGGAGCTGTGTCCCCTTCTCAGGCTCCGCAAGCAGCGGGGACCTGGGTCATGTCCAGACAGCCCTTCGTCATGCAGCCGAGTGGCTCCTGCTGTGCCCAGAAAGGACCGGGCTCCACCTGTCTGGGTCAGCATGGTGGTACAGCTATTATTCATATAACAGGTTCCCCGTCCTTACCTGGACACAGCCCACGTGGCAGAGGAGAGTCTTGCCTGCCCAGGG